TACCAGCATTAAATGCCCCCCATGCTGGCATTTAATGCCTGACAGGTAATGATTGAAGAAACCTCAAATCGCATTAAATACATATCAGAGGGACGCCGGACTGCCCTTCAAGGCCACTGTGCGACAAGACCGGTGAACAGTAGCTGAATAGTGCCACATTAAATACTACTATAAATAGCAGCTCATTTCATTTATTTTGGGTTGTTGAAATTCAACTAACTCTGCCTTCTCTCTTCTTTCTCTCTCTAAAACTGAAAGAAACTCATTGTAAGAATTGTAAGTATATCGCAAGTGCCGACCTCGTAAGAGAGGCCGACTTCGTGATCGCCTAATAAAACCATAATTAAACCGAATCATCCTTCCGTTTTCAATCTTTTACCTTCAACATTTATCATTTTAACCGTTGACCGAAAACGCTCGTCAACAAAAGATAATAAAGATTCCTAAACCTAAAGGAATAAGCCCATATTTAGCACCTCCCTTAGGTCCCTATTGTAGCCTATAAATACACAAGTCCCCTAGCCTCTTGAACATGTCACACGTTTTTCTTCTCCCCGAAGGGCTAGAGAAATTCGGCCTCTTCAAGTGAGAAAGAAAGAGAAAGATTCTTCTTCGAGAGAAAATTCGGTTAGCACCGTAAGGTCATAGAAGAAGATGATCGAGAAGCTTTGGGAAATCTAATAAATTGCTCCACCAAGATTTATTAGAGATCGTGTAAAGGTCATACAATAGAAGATTCGAAGGTTGTTATTCGTATCCCGTTGAATATATACATCCGTTTATCCTGTCGAATATATTGGTACCCGTAGCATCTCCTATGGCCACCAAATCAGGAGGGGAAGTTCACCGGAGCAGTAGAAGATCGCCGGCATAATTCCGGTGACCAGCTGCCGCCGGACGTGCCGGAGCCGGTTGATACGGAAGTGGTCATCAACCCAGGCGAGTCTGAAGATGAGGATGGCGACGACCTCAACATATGGCTGGAAAACATGCTAGAGGAGCCGTCAAGCCCGATATATCGACCTTCATGCAAAAGGGACTGGCGAAGAGATGTGGTCCACAATCCAAGCTTAAGCCTAAGAAATGCAAGACCAAGCGAGCCCGAAGGAAACGTAAGGCAAAGGCTAAGGAATCACGTTGTTGGTGTAAGCCTTGCACAAGAAAGAGGAGAGCAAGGAAGAAGGAGGCTAGAAGGCGGGGTTTGCGATGAAGAGGGGTGGTGGATACCGGCGGAAGAGTGCGTGAGGTTGAAGGGTTGGGACCCATGGCCATCGGGTGAGCAACCGGAGACGATCGGCGACGGAGGTGCAAGCACGATCCAGCAACGCGCATCGTACCTTGATGCGCGCGAATGGTCGAACAGGCAGGACAGTGTACGAGGGTTCACGATAGGTAGGCAAACCACGGACATCGACTGGGACATGCTAGCATTCGGCGTTGGAGGCGCAGGGCGCGATAGGAGCGTGGGCGAGTGGCGCGCGTCGTGCCATGATGCGCACGAGTATATGGTCGATGCGCAGGCAGCGTTGGGCGCACATGGGAGCGCGGTAAGCGATCAGGTCATGGGGACTGGCGGCACGCGTAGAGCAGCGGGTGTACGAGGGCGCGCGAGACTACAGGCGCGTACGAAGCAAACGGACGAGTCCTAGGGCGAGAAGGATTAGGGGAAGGAGCATTGTGCTCGGGTGATGGAGACACTCTGGCCGAAGGCAGCGGAAGGGCGGTGCGCGCGACAGCACGCGCGTGTGACGCAGGCACACGGGAGACCGCACCACGAGGATTAGGCAACGCGAAGGCGCGCGCTAGGGAGGTGCGCATATGGGCGGCCGACTTGGTGTGCAAGGCAAGCAAGAGATTTGAAGATCAAGTTAATTAGGACTCTAGTATATTTAGTTTCCTTCTTGCACAATAATATCTGGATTGTTTAGGAATTTAATATTTTATTACTTTAATAAGTTTCCTAGGTAGATTAGAATTAGTCATAGTTAGAATCTATAAATAGGGATGATCCCTCATTGCTTTAAGAAGTCGGGGAATTGATAAAATAGAAAAGAACGTTTGTTCGAAACCGTGTGTTAGGATTCGTGAGAGTTCCATCATACAAATCGAATTGGTGAGGCTAAGACCCGAGCCAGTTAAAAATTGAGGGAGCGAGGCTAATTACCGAGTGAACTCAAGTATCGTGAGAGAGTTAGGCTAATAACCGAATCGATCACACCTATTGTCGAGAGCAAGGCCGTGGCGAAGCTGTGTTTGAGACAAGAGGAGTGGAAGCAAACACACGATCCTTCATCATTGGTGCTTTCGTTGAGAGTGATCGATTGTGTGTTTGGTTAAACTTTTCCTATCCCATTCTTTTTCTTTGGGTCCGATTCTTTTGTTTCTTTTTGTTCGAATTTTTTCGAATTTTATCCTTTAGTTTTCGAAAAAATTCGTGAGTCTTAAAAAAAATTGTCATCTAATCTTTTGTTATTTTTTCTTCCCTTCGGTTCGAATTTTTTTCGAATTTTCTTTTTCTTTTCTTTCGAAAATTTTTAGAGTCTTAAAAAAAAATATGTCTTATGTGCCAATGGACGAGATGGATTGGGAAGATCTTGAATTATTGGAAAGTTTGGAAAGGGAACTCACCCCATGGGAAAGCACGTATCTAGACGAACTCCATGAGCGAAGAAATCTAGAAGAATACGAGCGACAACTCGTAGAAGGCCGAGGAGCAGGAGAGGGTGAAGTCCACAACAATGAAGATGATGGTACGCTAAACTTTCTAATCCTTGAGAACAAGGAAAGTCTTGAAGAGGAGGGGAATGTTACGAAAGTGGTCATCAACCCAGGCGAGTCCGAAGATGAGGATAGCGACGACCTCAACATATGGCTGGAAAACATGCTAGAGGAGCCGTCAAGCCCGATATATCGACCTTCATGCAAAAAGGACTGACCGAAAGGATGTGGTCCACAATCCAAGCTTAAGCCTAAGAAACGCAAGACCAAGCGAGCCCGAAGGAAACGTAAGCAAAGGCTAAGGAATCACGTTGTTGGTGTAAGCCTTGCACAAGAAAGAGGAGAGCAAGGAAGAAGGAGGCTAGAAGGCGGGGTTTGCGATGGGTTGAAGAGGGGTGGTGGATACCGGCGAAAGAGTGCGTGAGGTTGAAGG